CACCATATATACAACATCTGCTTAATCAGAGTGTGGTGCATCAAGACTTATGTACTGTTCTTGATGAAAGTCTAAACCCAAAATCTAGATCAAAACAGATGGGTATTCATGTGTGAATATAGGAAAGTAGTGGCCTGTTAGGTGAAATTAACTATTATATCTAGATCAAGGTTTAGATCCAGACAAATTAAGATGTTTTTATTTATTTGTTGTTACATCTGTTACCTATCAAGATCTATATCATATACACAACTAAATGACAAGCTCAAATATGACCCATCATGATACATTTTCAGTAGCTCTACTGTCTAAACAACAGAAACAAGACCACACTTGCAACTAGGCATATAAAACTCATAGCAAGAATAATTCATATTTCTTACTTTTAAAAACAAAAATAATATTACAGTTGTGCCACATAAATACTTGTCTTGTATTTGTAGATCTGAAGTTATATGATTATTTTGTTAAATTTTACTGGCAAATTTTGTGCTGATTCATATGTCTATATAAACATATAATTACAAGTGCCCATACTTAAAATTTGCATTCATTACATTTTTCATTTAAGGACTTACTACTATGGTTCTGCATTTATTTGCCATGCAACTGCAGAAGACATATTGAAACATTTCCTGAAGTCCACTGAAGATTTAGATCTGAATAAACCGCAGCAAGTTTCTATGGATAAATGAAATGTTAACTGGAAGTTTCACAAGCAGCTGCAAGAAACTGATCAAAAATTATGAGAAAAATATAGCGAATGTTGGTTCTTGTGGGTTACACATAGTGCATTTCAAAAAGGTGCAATGGCATCTTGTTGGAGAGCAGAAAGCCTTTATGAAAGTCTATATTACTTGTTTAAAGATACTCCAGCATGTAGGGAAGACTACATCACAGCAACAGGATCAAGCATCTTTTCTCTGAAGTTTTGCAGCCTACAATGGGTAGAAAATGTAGTTGTTGCTGAGCCAGCTATGAAGGAATGACCCAGTGTACTTACATATGTGGAAAAGGTGTCCAGTGGAACTGTATCAAATCCTGGTACCACATCATATGATGTAGTGAAAACCAGTTGTAAGATGCACTGATGGTAACAAAGCTAGCTTGATTTGTTTCTGTTGTTAGCCAAGTAACACCATTTCTAAGCATGTACCAGAAAGACAAGCCAATGCTTTCATTTTTGTGTGAGGACCTGTATCGTATGGTGAAAGGACTAATGGATCGCTTTGTCAAGAAAGAAATACAGCAGAACATTATCAACATTGTAGAGTTACTTCAAGTAAATGTGACAGACAAGAACATATAAAACAGTAATAAAGATGTGCAGGTTGATTTTGTGGCTGAAATTAAGTGCTTGTTGACAACGACATCCCCAAAGGTCAGTGAATAACAACTTATGGAATTCAATGTGCAGGTCTTTTTTGGTATCAATTGTTGCTAAATTAGTGAAAAAAAATACCTACAGATTATCCAGTTTCCAGAAATATGTCATGCCTAGATCCCAAACTCTAAGTCCAAAGTGCACATTGAAAATGTGAAGGCATCGGTAAGCTCAGGAACAGTCACAGATTTTTTTTGTAAAAAAGGATTCAGAAGACAAAAATGAAGTGGCTCTCACTGAAGCATGTTCCTGCTACCATGTCATTTATCATTCACATAGTTACAACTCAGCTAGATGCAGGAGCAGTTTGCTTAAAAGTATGTTTAGAGATTCCAAAATTGCTAGTAAATTTTCTCGTGGATGGACAATGATGTCAGTGATTATCACAAACGTCTTAGTTCCATACTCTAAGGAGCTTGTATTTAAATCCTTGAGTAGTAGTCATGCATTTTCTCTTTGTACTGATGTTTCCAACAAAGGAAACATAAATTCATTCTCGTAAGTTCTATGATATTTTGATAATTCACAAGGAATCAGAACGTCCTTATTATCATTCTTTTCTTTGGATTTTAAGGACACGGCCACAATTTTTGCAGCACTTCAGCAAACGTTAGAAACAAATGGATTGTCGATCAAGCAAGTAGTGGCTTATGGAGCAGATAATACCAATGTAAATTATGGGAGTAAAAATAGTGTTTTCAAAGCATTGCAAAGCCATAATCAACACCCTGTCAAAGCTGGTTGTAACTTGCATAAAATCCACAATGCTATTAAAAAAACATGTAACTGTCTAAAGTATGATATAGAGGCAATCATCATAAAAATTTACGAGTACAGCTCTTCCACTCAAAAGACCTCCGAACTAAAAAAAAATTTTGAAAAATTGTTTGAAGACCGATAGGTCTGAATTGTTGCGCCATGTACCCACCCAATGGCTCTCTTTATTGCCAGCAATAGAAAGATTGTTGTCTTCCTTTGAGCCCATTAAAGCTTATTGTTTAAGCTGACAGAGTGTGCCACTCACTTTAATTGCCAGTATTGTAAAAACTTGAATCAAATGAAATGAAAATTGTTGAGTTATACACAATCATTAGTAATATTCTACAAATGTTAAGTGAGAAAAAGGCTGAAATATTTTATGGATTTTTGACTCGGCAGTTGATACAGAAAAGTTATAATGAATCAGCAGTTAAACGATTCGAGATTGATGCTCAAAATTTCCTTGATGCAGCAATAAATTATTTAGAGAAATGGTTCGACTTCGAGGATAGAAAACTCCAAGCCATAAAATGCTAGATTTGAAAGAAGTCCCAAAATTTTCAACAAATTCATCTTTTTACAAAAATTCATTGTAGAATTGAATGATAGTGATAAGTTGTTACATTTGGATCAACGATGGGTGCTTTTTTTTCAAAACCTTTCCATCTCAAACCTTGAAAAAATTCTGAAGCATATATTTTCCATTCCTTATTTCAACTCTGTGTCTGGAAGAATTTTCAGCTTGATGACAACCAACTGGAAGAAAGAGAGAAATTGTTTGCTTGTCGAAAATTTAGAATCACAACTCATGATTAAATAAAAATGTTTATGATTTGCAAGGAATTTCAGTTATACTTGAAATCAGAAGATGGAGCTAAAATTTTGAAGAAGACTAAAAGTTCAGAAAAATATTAACATATACATAATAGGTCATAGTATAATGATTTCAATAAACTTGTTCTAATTTTGTTTGCTGTAACCGTTGAAGAAATCATGTTTCAATTCAATTCCAAAAAAATTGGACTTTAAAAAACTCAGAAAATATTTTGTCCTGCATGGCCATTTGAAAAATCTGGCAACTCTAGTACTACCTCAACAGACTTTGATTTCAATAACAGTTTACTCTTCCATGGCCATGTTGTTTTGACCAGCAGGTTGCCAAATCAAAACTTCTTGACCAACTTTGGAGAGCTGGAAAACCCCCTCTAATCCGTTACAGATATATCTGATAAAGAATGCATTATCAAAAATCATAGAATAGGAAAGGAAGATGATGATTGTGTGAATGCAAAGTCATCAGTAAGTAACCATTTGATGGTGAGCCTATTTTTACAACTTTGAACATCCATAAAGAAAAATGGTGTCCAATAACCCCACCCATCATAGATCCTCACAATGAGACATGCTACACCGTTAAAAGCTAAAACCCATGTTTAAAATTGTTCCCACAGGGTTTGGTTTGTTTGGAATTTCACACAAAGCTACACAAGGGCTATCTTCACTAGCCATCCCTCATTTAGCAGTGAAAGACAAGAAAGAAGGTAGCTAGTCATCACCACCCACCACAAACTCTTAGACTACTCTTTTACCTACGACTCGTGGCGAGCATGTTTGGTGGGACGGGGATTTGAACCCATGACCCTCAGATTGCGAGTTAAGCACACTAACCACCTGGCCATGCAAAGCATACTCCCACAACCAAATTATTTTCAACAAAGTAATTTACCAATTTTAACCAAATGTGAACTCTATCAAAATTAAATAACTAATGTTTTATTATATTCTATAAAAAATGTAGTAACTGCTATATAAATCATTCTAGCAATAACAATACCCAAGTTATTGGAAAAAATGTTTATTCAGGAAATAAATTTATATGCCTGTGAGTTATTGAACAATGCACTAAGTAGACTTCCACTTTTCCCAACTTCAGTTTGATAAAAGTGTAAAAGCCTTGCATCTTTCTCCCATATACTGTGCTTCAGCCAAAACAAAAACTCCTTTAATGAGTCACCAAAACCAAATATTTATTCAACATGTCTCCAATTGGCTGCTTAACATTTATCATGACATGTCACCATGCAAAGATTCACAATCATATTGTTGCACATATTAACAGTGTTGTATATCTCATGGTTTTCTCACAAAATTCCATTACATTATTTTTTTTAAGTTTTGTCAGTTTATTGTTGCAGTTCCACCAAAAAAGAACTGAAAATTTTGTGGGTCAGTAAAATCTGTATATTACAGCATGCTGTTGGGTCTGTAAGTTTCCTAGTAAAATAACACATACCCACGTTTTAACAATATTGAAAACACTAATTGTTATGAATAATTTTATTTGTGGTCAAGGGCACTGACATGTGTATCAGTCATCACAGGATATGATAATTACAAGTAAAATCATGAACCAGTTTTTATAGAATTTTATTTACATTATATCTGAAATAATAAGAAACATTATAATATTAATAACATCAATACTATTATTCTGCTTGTTTGTAGGTACGACCGTTACGCTTTCTGACCAAGAACCTGCTGCATAAGCATGCGTAGTTAGAATATTTCCCCAAGAAAAACTGCACATGCGAATTATTCACTCGACAACAAACAGTTTGCAAGAGCTGCAAAGTCAGTGAACAAGTCGCTATAATTGCTGTATGAAACGAAAAGTAACAACAAAAGGGGAATGTAAATATACTTTACTAACCATTTTGTACAATAGAATATTAAAGACGTATCAAAGTTTTTAAAAAAGGTTTGACATTAGGTCAAAAAATAACATTATAAGTTTATTTATCGATTAAGTACAGTAAAGTTTAGTCCTAACTAAACTAAAGTAAAAAAAAAACTTACACAGGTTAAAGTGTTAATTTATCTCTTTTTCAAACTTAGGCCTAACATAAGTTAAAGTTTTATAAAGTACGGCCTATATACAAGTGGATTTACACATTTCATTGTCTACTATTACAATTCATTTGTGTTGTGCTAGAAATTTTATATTTGAAGAAGTACTATTGCGATAAAGATATTAATTTGGCCGCAAATGTTTTGTAGGTCTCTGCTAGTACATCATAATACTGTCAGGGCCGATGCATGCACTAGGTGAACAAGGGTGACAAAATTGGTGTATAAACTATGAAACAACACATCTTTTGGAGGCAAAAATGATAATGATCTCAAGAAACTTGTTTGCATGTTTCCCAAACTCAAAGTATTAAAAGTAAAGTTTTGTCTCAGCAGCTTATCCTACAAACCTTACTGCACAGTTTAATTAAAATATGTCGACTGTACTATCTCTCCAGATCCACTAAAAGCTGTAGAACAATTGATACTTACAATTGTTAATGTCTTGATTCAGATCAAATGAAATCAATAGATTTGGATTTTGAACTTTTCTGATAATTATATATTTTGCTATACATGGGGGGGGGCACAACTTGACACTGGCACTAAATACTGAAGTTTAGAAGAAAGTTAATCAGTGGAATTAATTAAATGTATAATCAGTTCTTGTAGTATTTTCTACTACAGTCGAAAATTTCATATCTTAAAGATCTAGTCATACGCATTAAAGAATGGACTGGTTTAGATTGTATTCCTCCCCTTAAAAATATAAGTATGTCTTCATTAGTTTAGTAATTATAAATAATAGTTGGAATCCTTAAATAGGGGCATGATACTAATGCGAGAGCTACTTTTATGTCAACATCATGTGATGAAAGTTTGGGAAGAAACCTTTTACCAATGCTTAAGGCAGCTAGCGTGACCTTGGCTATATTCAAATTAAACACTTCAGATAAGATAAGCTGTACTTTGAGACATAAACTGTGTACATGAAAACTTTTTGCTGTTGTTCTGCAAAATATTTTCTATTTGAAGTTATATAAAGAAGAGAAAAAGCATAAAGGTAAACAAGAATAGGCAATACTTACAATTTTTTCTTGTTTGATCATGGAAGTTTTAAAAGTTATAATGACTGAACAACTTATTAGGACCCTTCTTACACATATGCATATTGCTATTGAGTATGTCTGTCCTATTTTTTTGAGTATTTCCACTGAGAAAAGGTAAAAAAAATCAAGGGATATCAATGCCACACTCCCAGTTGAGAAAGGGTTAATCATGGTGTGGGAAGAAATCTGGGGGCCTTGTGGTGTTCATCATTATGTTTTGGTGCTAATTCAAAATCCCTTTATCAGATTGTAACCATAATTACTCCACAGTTTTAAAAGAAAAACTAGAATATCTGTCTATAATATGATCTTTGTGAAATTTAGTACAGACACAAAATTGTTCATCAATTCTTACTCAGAGTAGCCACTGGTGCTTGGGCTTAAAATAATTTGCAAACAATTTCACATTTGACCTAATAATAAAATATATTTGATATTAAACTTTTACACTTCCTAAATGACAAAAGAAGCAAAATTAGAATTACACAACTCACTGGCTTAAATTACTATAACCCATGTTATAGTTAGGTGATTATAAGTTTCTATAAAGTAGCAGTTCTCACCAACCCAGGTTAAATCAATGGCAATAATATTGAAAACCTTCCTCAAACAGTTTATATTATTAGACTGACAGTTACCTACACCTTCCATAACTACTCTTTACAGTACTACAGCAATACTGTGTTGCTTACATAGAAAAATAAGTAAGTAACGAATCTACATCTATTGAAAGTGATTTTTACTCTTCATTTTACAAAAAGTATCAGTAAATAATAAAATATTAGTTTTAGGTCAAAATGTGTTTAATACACTTAATAACAAAAATGATAGACCATTCATGAAAAATTATATTTAAAAAGGAACATATAGTCATATTTGAAGATAAGCTTTTCACTTAACTCTAAACTTACACTGCCTGACCACTTTATTGAAAACCTCCTGCCTTATTATCATGCTTTTCTACACAGTAAGTTGTGCAAGTTACATCAACAATACAGTGATCACAAATGATCACAGGTGGTATATAAAACAACTTCTACAACAATGTTCAATCCAATTGTACTTATAATGGTTGTAGGCAAAAATATGTGGGAGTACCAAATGAGGCATGATTCTCAGGTGAATATTTCTAATGCAGTTCAACCAACTGGTATTTCAAAGACTAGCATGTCCTGAGTACATCAGGACTGGTTGGTGTGTGAAAAAAAACATTTGCTAATAGAACTGAATGTAGGCAAACAAAACTGGTATCAGAGGCCAAGACTGACTGTTAAACAAGTGATGAATTCTTTTAATGTGGGGTGTACTTCAACCATATCAACCTGCAAAACATTGATTGTAGGCAACAAGACAATGCAATTGTTGTGATGACTGAAGACAGAAAGAGGAGTGGACTGGTAGGATAAATCCTGATTCATGCTGTTTAATATATATAAGAGGGCTACAATATGGATACCAGGTCATTCTTTACTCCAGATCAATGTTATCCAATACGTACGCCACTCACCACACATGGCAAATTGATGCTCTGTTTTTGCATTAATATTTATGTTGGTGTTTTTTGTATGGAAAATGTTTTCCAGGATTTTGAAGGTTATTTACCGAAATATATTTTTCCCTGGTTTCAGACATGGATACACATTTGTTATCAGAAAATGGCAAGTGAACCCAAAAGAGGAGCTGACCCAACTGACGATGAAAAAGCCTGCATTTCAGCAGAAATTGCAGCGAAGACAGAGAGATTGGAATAAAATCAGGCATAAATTTCACAACGAATAGGAGTTGGAATGAAAAACCATTGTGTAAAACAATGTTCAATAAAAACAAGGTGAACAGTTTGATAAAGTATTTCCAAAGTATACACAAGAAGTTTGATAGGAAGTCTCCTCTTTGTGATCAAAATCGAGCCAATGAAATCACTTGTCTGAAGTCAAATTTGAATCAGCAGCAGCAGAATTTGAAACAATTTCTTTTGTCATGTGAGTTGGTGACTTGGGCTAGCTATAAAGCAACAAGGATTCTGGCTTGAAAACACAAACCATTTTCAAATGGTGAAAGAAATCATCTGTACAACTATGGAAGATTTGCTGAAAAATTATGAACCAAAGACCAAAAACAACATCATGCAGAAGGTTCAAAACCTCTAGTTGAGTCCCAGATGGATGCTCATTGATTGCACAATTATTCGTAAAATCTTGAAGCACAACTGCGTGCACAATTGAAGAACATTGGATAAGTCATGCATCATCCAAGACACTGCACACTTGTTTTCCGGATTCTTTTCATTTACAAAGGTTTGGAGATTCATGAATAAATGCCGGCAATTTGACAACTAAAGGACCATGCTCATGGCATCAACAGTCTTGACATTTTCAAAGGTGTTATGGAAAAGTCTGAATTCGATTTGAAGAAGTTAGATTCAGTCATGACATATGGTAACTCTGTGATGATTGGACAAAAATCTGGATTTTTCAGTCTACTGACTGAAAATGGGCTTGTCAATCTGCCCTCTCTGGACAGGTATGGTTTCAAAGATTTGCTTTTGCTACAAAGCCAGATAAATCTTCTTAAAGCTGTGATGTCAGCTTTTAAAGGAAAATGAGTTTATGGTTCTCCACTCAAGCATCGAAAAGCTGTTTTTGATGTTTGGCTCAACATGGCTCTGCGAATCCTCTTTTCCTGCAGTAACTATCATGAAGCCAAAGTATCAGTTGCAGATATGGATGTGAATCTGGAGAGGGGCAGAGTTGTGATGTTCAGTCTGCAAAAAGTTTCTACCCAATTACAGGACATTGGTGAAAGAAAAACATTGCAGAGTATCACACTGAACATTTCAATTTGCAATAATAAATACAGTATTTGACTATTATTCTATATTTATTTTCTCAATACATACATACTACTGGTAAAAGACAGTATATTTGTTGTATTAACATTGCATATAGTTTGTGGTAAATATGGTTATTTGATTGCCACAAATTTGGTTAGCATCGTAATCCTATTGGACACAGCTGCTCTAGATACATTCAGATATTTTGTGGAATCTATGTTATCCAGGATCAAAGGTGTTACTACAACTACGAAATAAAGATTGTTCCAAACTTAGCGGCTAGGCAGTGTACATCTCTGCTAATTTATAGTAAAACACAGCTCTACTAACAGGGTTATTACGAAAATAAGCAAATATTAATTTTAAATAATAATGAAGATATTCTATTACATACCCAACCTAACTAGTACAAAAGTACTCCAGTAATTTGAATAGTTTTATGAAATTTAAAGTAAGAAATGTAAAATCTGTAGGACAGTGACAGGAATGCGAGTGCTGAAAACTATGCTTGTTTCTGTTAGAACTCAATTTTACCTAAACCAGATAATGTTGACTTAATAAAGCAGAATTTTTTACACCTTATAATAAATTAGAAATGTAAACACATTTTAAAATTATATGAAATAAATATATACCTTTTGTATGCTTTTATATTTTTTAAACAGGAGAAAGTATCACTGAAAAAAACCAGAAGTGAACATTTTGGAAAACTGACCCAAACTTAGTGTTTTATAGGACAAGCAAATCAAGAAGGAAATAATACACTTTATACCTCATTCTGAGTTAATGTTCTGGCACCATAACACAAACTAAGTTTAACAAGCAGTATTCACTAATCATATATAATGGGAAATTGGACCACTTATAGCAATCATTATAAACGATTTTTGGAAATTCTTTTAACTATAAACAGCTAATTCATATTCTATTATCTATGACTGGACATTTCTGTGAAGACTGAGACCTTGTTTTCATGAAGTACAAAGTCTTAAGTATTAAAGTCTAATGAAATCTGTTATATCAGTCGTTTTAACTCAAGTTTATTCTTTCCTTACTTCACATATTCAGAGCTTGATTGTTTTTTCAAAAAGTAACCATTTCCTTTTGCAGCATTATAAAAAGACTTCACACAGAAGTTCAAATTTCATTATTACAAGAAAAAACTTCTAAGCCAACATTTTAATAAAAGTACAAGTTATCTGTTTCTTCTTTCTGTCTAACACAATATTAATACAGTTAGTAGCAGTTGAAAATGTACAGCTTACTTTGAATAGTACCATATAATCAGAAATCAAAGTAGAATATCATGATTTATACTTAGAGTAGTTTCTTAGATCTTTTCTTGTTTCAGAGAGAGAGAGAGAATCACGTTGTGTCTGATCCTTAGTATGTTAGCTTCTGAATTATACAGTAGTTACTTTACAGAACCAAAGGATCCATAAGACTGCTTTAGCTGTTTCTGCAGTGCTTCTATAACCTGCTGGTGTTCATGGATCAGATGTTCTAACTTTGCTTGCTCTGGTCTTTCCAGCACTGTAGTAACCACAGAAAGCAACATGTTTATGCATCCGTTTTAATGACATGTATAAAGACACATATCCTGATTCTTCTTATTTTACACAGTCAATTAATTTACCTTAGACCTGACAAAACCAAGGAAGTGAAGACTGAAGCATGCAGCATTCAAGATCTGACAGTACGAGTGGTTACAACATAGTCTCTGCAAGCAGGAACATATATTTGAATCCTGCTTTTTCATAGTTTTAACTTCTCACAGAAAATAGATCACTTTAAAGAAACAAAAATAACATAAGATTGAAGCTTATCAATGCTTCTTACAAAATATAAAAAATGTAATAGTACATTTAGGAGTTGGAAGTGCTGACTGTTGGAAAACCATTTTATTTCTACTCATAAAATAAAAAATGGTGATGGAGGTTTTATAAGTTTTGATTGTGTTATGGTTCAGTTAGATGAGATCCATATTATATGTAGTTTTTCATGAAACAGTCACTTCTTTAATAATATACTAAGTAACAGTAACGAGAATCTAAACTCAAAATAAACTTGATGCCAACTGTAACCTATGAAGGCTGATTTTCTTTTAAATCACATATCTCGTAGAAAATTACATGAAGTTCATAAAATTTACATGCACTTCTAAATACAACAGGTATTTTTGTTTCCACATTGTAAACAACCAGCTGCACTTCCCTCCAACTGATAAGTGTAGTAGATCTTGACCTAAATAACTTCACTTTCCACATCAACTTAGTGGTCAGGTAGAAAACAGCAGATTCAGAAGAAAAGGCACCTTTTTTTTTAACTGACTTTTGATAATTGGCTTGTTATACTATTTCACTTGATTCTATGCAACTTACAATAATTGTAGATAGTTACAACATATGAAGAATGCAGTTAAGAAAAATGTATGTACCTTTTGATAATGGATAAATCCTCTCTCAAACATCAGATTTCTGACAAGATGGTCATTACTTTTTCAGAGCAACATCATCCATGAACAAAAGGCATTAAAGTTGATTTACACTCAAAAAAAGCATATAATATCCTTATTTTTCTTATTGAGAACAAATATGTAGAACACAACTGATCACATTTTCTAAGTCAGACAAATATACATGCCTTTTTTAGTAAACAAGCTGTTAATTAGTATTGTTTGTAGAATTACATATGGATTTTCCTTTATGTAAAATACTTTTATTTGTGAGCTTTCAGCCCTCTTACTGGAACCTTCATCAGGCAACATATTCATAAAAAGTATAATAGTGTTGGTACTGAATTTGTGTTATAATCAAAACATTATTAATGTTACTGAAAAAAACAAATACAAATTAATTATACATCATAATACATGAAGATTGCAATGTTCTCTTCATAATCTTCTAGTAACAGTCACAAATGCACTTGGGATAGGATAATTTGCATAACATAGGCTTACTGTAAGTAAGACTAATTTTGCATTCTATATTCAATACAAGGAAAAGAATGTACAAACAATTTTCCTACCTTAAATGTTTAATTGGTACCTAAATATTCCATGTAACTTGAAGACAAATAACAATGACATTTTAATAACACAAATTACATTTATTACAATTTAGCTGTTTAAAAATGTATAAGTTTGTTTTTACAGTAGACCTTTTATGTACTTTTCAATCAGTAAAATGATTAGTAAAACACAATAATTTAGCAGAAATTCCTAGAATGAATGCTTAGAATATATGTCAGATCTTTCATTGGGTAAACTACAATAAAAATAAAATTCCAGTACTTTCAACAAGTGGATATCTATCTAAAGGCAGAAACCCTTAATTTTGCAAGAGTCTTGACATATTTCTTTTAGTTAACATATGAACTGGGCAATATAGCTGAGAAGATGATGACCATAAACAAGATGAGACAATCAGATTAACATCTGTTTCTACCAAACTAGTAAAAAGAACACAATCCTAAACCCTTGTCAATTAGGAAAGACATGCTCGAAGAATTTTTTTCAAGCATTCAATAAAACAAAAAAGGCATGAATAAGTAAACATTCCATCTTCCAATCTCATAAAAATTTAACTTGTATAAAATATTTTCTTGGGCTACAAGTGCACAGTAACTAATAAATGGAAACCATAGTCATTACACATGCAAGTATAGAAAGCTCTGAATTTCTTAACAGGTTGCATTAAAAAGACATTTGGAAGCACAACTAACTTCTAGAAAAACACTACATAAAAGAATCCCATTTTTACATTGTACAGCCTGTACAAGCACCTAAGGAAACAGAAACAAATATTGTGGGGGGTGGGAAAAAAAAACTAGCTTTTCCTCGTACCTCGTGTGTCAAGGCCTTTCTTGATGAAATATTCTCGGACACTGTAATGAAAAAGACAGCAGTGTACAAATTTCGTTGAATGAGAAAAATGATGCCAAACTATCTGTATTTCCTGTTTCAATTAAACTATTAAAAACTATGTTGTTTTTTTATATTAAAAATTAATAAATTTTATAGGTTCTTATTAATTAAACTGTAGCTAAATGTTTGAAACAAACTTCTTATTTGTCCATTATTCATTCAGTTTTCCACAATGTTTATCTTATTATTTTCATTTTTCTTACATTTTATATCTGGTTATATAGCACTAAAATTAAATTTAAGAGCCTTTTCATGCCTAGGTGAGAACATTTGTATATTTCAGTATTTCTCATGGCTTCTTGGACAACATTCTATTAGAAACAGATAATGAAATGGAAATAGTATGCTATTTTTACACACACCTGATAGGAAGTTTTTTATAGACTGGGCCCCATTTTGTCTGTTGTAGATTATCCATTTAGTTAGTAATGAATGATATAATATGTTTGGTGAGATATACATTATGTTTATAAGACTGAGAAGTACACTGACCATCAATTTGAAGGTGATTAGATAAAAAAGATGATGAAGATGTACGTTTAACCCTCTTGCTACGAGGTCGATCAAATTGCCCAACCTCAAAACCATTTTGTACTCATCATAGTTTTATATTATAACTTTTAATACACTTTGTGTATCTTCAAAGAATTTGGCAGGCATTGCAAGTCTGTGTACACAAAAAATCAATTTTTTAAATATGTATTTTTATTAAAATTTGTCCATGAATATATGTAGACAGATTGTTCACTGCTCCAAGTGAAAAATGATTTATGTTAAGATTAAAAATAGTTTTCTTTGTTTCAAAAAATCTCAAATTTTATTTGCTGTCAACTGTCAATGACACTTAACCCTACTTTTATACTAATGGTAGGATTGCACTATTTTTTTTTTTTATTTAATTGATTAATACACCAAAGAACACAGAATAATATGTGAAAAAAGTAGATAACGTCCCATAACTATCACAAATGTTATGACTTTCTAACTATATGATGAGAGCTGTTAAGAATTCAGCTAAGCTCGTCGAAGTGTTTCTCGTGGGAATAAAGGTTATACCAAAGTGAAACAGTCAATTCTCTACAGAAAACAACGTAATATAATACATCATTTGATAGATTAAAACCTCAGCTTTCAATAGGTTACACATAATATAGTATTAAATGTTGGATAGAACTATCAGCAGGTTCTGAAAGAGAGGACGTGGCAGGTGAGGTCTATAACTAAATAAGATTGAACGCCATAATAATTATGTTTTACCTGAGCGACGACAACATTATAATGAGTAATTTACATTATATTTCTACTTCTTGAGAGGGGGGGGGGTATATATTAGAGAAGAGGGGATGCCTAGAGAGAAAAAATGTCATGAATATTTTTTTTTAAACATTGCCTTATAAAATTAAGAACTTGAAACTTGTATACTATTAAAATTTGAGTTATTACCTATATTTTTATGACAAGAAAGTGGTTTAATTAAATTTTTAATGTAACTCACTAAAATCTCGTGACATGCTCATAAAAAGATACCCGTATGAAAAGTGTTAAGATTTTTTTATAAAGAAAGCTACAGGCTGCTGTTGGTGAAACAACTGGGTTAAGCCAAACCTTCAGTTAGTAAAATAGTGACATAGTTCATAAAAAATTTTTTAAAAAAAGCAGACTATGTTTAGTACTTTCTCAGATCAAATAGTAATGCTCCTTAAATTTGGATTCCCAAACATACTGTTTGCTCACACATTCCCATTAAATCACTTGGTAGTGCTAAAGATGATGCCTAAATAAACAGGAGTATTTTTTTTATCATTGCATATGCGTGCAACACAGACCTGAAAACACTGGATATCAATGCATGTACTGAGTAGGTTCATGGCACTTTTGAGTTGACAAACAATGGACTTGGACAAGCTTTAGCAGAGGGTGCCTTCTATGACATTAATTAACAAGTATGGATTTGATATTCTATGAAAATCATCTTAGTATACTACTACTGTGATCAACTTTAAATATTTCTAAACGATTCTGCATGTGTTTGTTCAGCTATGAAGTTTATCATGGTAAATAATACACAAATGTATGCCAACAATGTTATTCTCAATATCCTGTATTTTTCATGGGTGACTCAAGCAGAGCTCAAAAAACCATGGGTAATGACACTTCTAAATAACCTAAGTATAAAGAACAAATGTACTGCTTGACTTAATAAGCTGTATTGCTAAGCAAAAGAAACATTAGTTTCTCAAAATGCCACTTAGTCATCGACGGGTCATATCCAAAGTAGCACACAGTAAAATTTTGAGTTGGTGCTAAAAACATGCACTAATACCAAAACACCATACCAAGATATGAAAATTAAGCAATGACAAAAATAAACTCAGAAACCTTCTATTCTTCACAAAATAGAAAGGGACAAAAGATATATTGCACTAGCAAAGATCACAAACAACAACACAGGAGGCAGGAACATGACAGTATTAAGAAGCAGCATAACACAACAGTTGTACTTTATCTTTAATGACCAAATTCTTTTCTCTCCATGAACTTTCTATTTTGTCCAATTTAAACACACCTAATGTAATTATATAAATGTATTTATTTAAAGAATCATCAGATGCTGGCAGTCTGACATGGAATCCACCTCTTAGGAGCATACTTCATCACTAAAAGTAAAAAAGTATCAAAAGGAAAGGACTTTTCTCTACTCAAAAAGTCATGCAGCTTGTTGATAGTGAGAAAAAAAAAAGATTATTTTATTTCTTGCATTAAATTGCAAAGTAACAAATGCAATTCATAAAAAGGCTTGGACAGAAATTACCAACATGGTAAAGTCTGCTGAAACCATTGAATAAATAGGTGAAGTTAAGAAGAAATGGGCTATTCTGAAATTTCAAACAAGAAGAAATACAAGAATCTACTAAAAACATGAAGTGGAACATCCTTTATTGTTGAATGATACAGAAGATCAATAGTCAAACTGAAAGAACCTTCAACCAGAACTACTGAGGTTATAGAAATTAAAGAAAATTCTGTCTCTGACTAGAGTTCTAATAATGTGTTGATAGTCATGTATAGTTTGCTTGTATACAAATCATTACTTTATTTTATTTTTTACCTAAACCTCATGTAGGTGTGACTTCATTGGCATCTTCAACAGCAGGATGAACTGAAGTCACTCCTACTGCAAATACAAAAGTTAGAAAAGGAACAAGTGAAAATTTATCTCTTGCAACTATTGATCAGGACGTGTTAGAGGTGCGCAAAGCTAAATTTAAAAAAAACTGAACCAATTGACAAACAAGATAAAAACTATTATTATCAAAGAAGGTTTGTAATGGAAGAACATTTAGAAAATAAAATGAGAGTACATCAACCTACAAAATATTCAGTTTCTTTTGTTTTCCTAAATCTGTAAATAAAATCCAAATTGGATATATTTTACTCATGTGCAGCTCCTTCCCTTATGCTTTCTGTTTAAATGGTTTTGAGTAACTTTATATTTAATATTTGTTTCAATAAACAAAATATATAATAATTATTAGTTTTAATCAACAAGTTTTGTGACCATTCTTTAGCTAGGACATTTTACTAAGTATTTAAAAAAGAATATGTACTTAGATGTCAGATTTATGTAGAAGTGGGTGGATATTTACTTGTAAGCCATCTTTAAGAAGTTGGAGCAAAATTATGACTGAATTTAAAAGGTATTCTTATGCTTTGACAATTTTGATCCTAAAACTCAACTTGCAACTTTAATAAAGACAATATGATAAAGTGTATGAAAAATCTTAAATTTTGCTCACACAAACACTTCTAATATCAATTATGAGAACAGAGCCCCACAACTTGTTGTTTAGTGTTGTTTCTACAATAAAAGGAAGCCTATCTGAATTTTTTAGCATAACAAAAAGTTATGATGTCAAATGCAAAGAAAGAAATCACTTAAACATAGGATGTCCTTTTGTTGTTGTTGTTGTTGCTAAATGAAATTGTCCAGATCACTAGCTCAAGCATTTTTCACATAACAAACCTACAGCTTGCCTGACAATAATCATCAAGTTTAAGTTTTCCATGGGCTGAGGGTAACAGTTTTTAAATCACTACACACTGAGTTCAAAATCTGATAATTCTTCAGTTTCTAGGGGTTTGTAAAAATGCACTGAGGTTGCACATCTGGTAAACACATACCTTGGAATGTCTATAATATAATAACCATCAGGGGATTTTTCTAGAATAGTGGCATTAATGACTTCAGATTCTGGTAATAATCTCTTTAGTTCTTGCAATTTTTCATCAGTCCACTCCATGTCAGTTGGGAAGTCTACAAAGTACCACTTAGGTAATTAAATACATTCAAAGTGCATCTTAAAGCACCTACAGAAAATGTTACAACTTTAATAAATTATTTTGTACAGAAAATATTTTAAAAAAGGGAAGAAAGAAATAAGTATTTCTAAAATATAATTTTTTTTAAGAGTAACCTTTTAAAAACTTTTAAATAAAGTTAGATTATTTTTTAGGTTTTTGTATAATAATTTATAATGGCTTTATTTAGTAAATAGCCCATTTTTGATTTTGTATCATTTTTAAATAAAGCTGCAGAAAAAAAGCCAACTTTCTCTAAATGTCAAAATTGGAAATTAGTGTTTACCATCTAAGCTTTTCACATAATTCAAAAATGATTATCAATACTCACATAAGTTTGATTTATCCATTTAACACTAAAAAAATCCAACAGTTGATAAAAGACAAAGAATAAAGCAAAAAATTATCAACATTTCAGTATTACATACCTTATGAACTCCATACACTTTTTAAAAACACATTTACACAGTCATTTTAAGTTTAAAAACAATGCAACTGTGTACGGTACCTTTGTGCTGTTTCTGCAAAATATCTCATTTAATGTACATATTATGATAAACATCTTAGATTTTATGTAAAACATTAACTAATCAGTTCATTTTCTCTCAATGTGTGATTCCCAGAACATAATTTTCTCTCATCACTTCACTGTTAAATAAAAGCAAAATCTTAAAAGTCATACTCTATTTTTTTGTAATGGACATGGAGATGACAAGGATATTTTAAGTATATTGTCCATTACACAAGTCATACTCTATTTTTTGTAATGGACAGGGAGATGACAAGGATATTTTAAGTATATTGTCCATTACACAAGTCATACTCTATTTTTTTGTAATGGACAGGTAGATGACAAGAATATTTTAAGTATATTGTCCATTACACAAGATATTTTTTTTTTCAAAAATTTCACAATTCTGATGCTTCCACATAAAAGATTTGAAAATTAGATGCTTTCTGGTGCATTCTTCAATTTTTTCCCATATAGTTGGCAGATAATGATGTCCTTGAATGTCACAGTAAATTAGCCAATTTTGATTATTAATGTGGCAGTTCTAAGTGCTTTTCAGTAGTTCGATGTGTTAAAATTGTAGAACAATTATGTGTAGCATAGTTTCTATGTTTGTTGCATATTGTGCATAAAGCTTTCCATGATAAATCCTTATTTCAAGAATTCTCCCCATTTTGATTCAACTATCTTAGGTTTACTTCCAACAAAGTAATTACTTGTTCTTTCTCCAACCAGTCCCACCTAAATTTGTTTTTACACAACTATACAAATTTCTATAGCCCTCACTTTATCCTTTTCATCAATAACCTTTGCACTTTTTAAAATTCATTCCCCTTTCAAATTAAATTATGTAAATTTTCAATTAAATTTTTATGTGAAAAATCTGGGCCATGAACAAGTCATCTTGCAAGATCAGGAAAATGTATTTATCAGATTTTGATTGGTCAAAACTTCAGTAGTTGTAAACAAAATAGAGAAAAATAGCAAATATCTTATTTTTCCAAAGACTAACTTTCAGCATGATTTTTCTGAATGAATGTGTTATTGGAACTGTAAAATTGGAAATAAACCACATGGAAGAAAATTCTCTTCTGTAGTTTATACAGGGAAAAGCAAGGCAATATATAGTTTTAAACTAGAGATCAGAGAAATATCCAAATACTTAATTGTTTACCTTGTAACATGCAGTGTTGAGCTATCACAGGATAATTCATTATCTCTGGAAAAATACAGCGAATGTTACTTGTGGCAACCATCTCAGTGTTTCCGAAATCAGCAAACAAAATATACACTTCACTTTCACCAGGTCGCAAAGCAACTGCCCGATACCAGAGACCATCTGGAAACAAAAAAATTAAAGTTAGTAAGAAGAGTAGATTCTGTCCATTGATTTTAAAATATACTAACTTGTTTGAATTATATAATTCTTTTTAAATACAGGCTATGGTTATTGACCTACATGATAAGAAAAACAACATAAAAAATGTGGTTTTCAATAAAATAAATAGTTTCATACCACAATCTACCAGCCTATGATTAAATCAAACAAGTTACAAGATATATTCATCTATCTTCTAGACAAGAGAAATCATCAAAAATGCACCATTAAAAGTGCAGATTAAAAGAATGCTGAATTTCAACTTGTCAGTTACATGTCTGTGTAAGTGAGTATTGAGTACATAGTTGAACATCAGTATGTCAAATTGCCAGGAACTTTCAGAATTATTCAAGACATCAGAGGATAGAGAGCCAGCCTAGAATCTTAACCTTTGCCTTGATCCACAATAAATGTAAAATATTAGATGCAATGGACTAAAAAAACCCATAAATATTTGATGCAACAATTTTCAAGAAAATGCATGGGACTGAACGTAAATAATATCAGCCATGTATTTGAGACATCCAAGTTAAGCGTACTGATGTTCAATGTTATACAAGTAACTTGTAAAAAAAAATCTGCAATAAACACAAAAAATTTAAATTTCACTTTATATATTATAATGAATAACATAAATCCTTCTATAAATGTAACACACTTCAAAAAACAGACTTGTAGATATGGCAGACAACAATGTTAGCACTAGTACACTTAGCTAGGCACATCTCACCAGCATCTGGTTAATTGCCACCATTAGGCAAACTAACAGAGTTCAATCACCTTCTGCTTAATTTTGTGGATCTTTTGAACCACTTTATGATACTATAGACATATAGCAATACAAAACTATAAACTTAAGCATGGCACTTCTCAACTGTTTTTGGTAAATAGCTCCTTTAACTCTATAAGCACAGGGTTTTTATCTAAGTAGTTTTACTAAATATTTGTCTGTGAATTGATGGAGTCACAATCTCAATGCAAAGGTGCTAATCATGTTAAGATTAAACATTATTTTTTCATCTTATATTTTTCCAACTTGTATAACCCCTCAGACCTCCTAAATGAATATTACAAGTTTTCTGCAGTAAAACTATATTTTATCTACCCCAATACTATACAGACTTGGTCCATTTGAGAAATTTGTAATCAACACAAAATATATAAAGCAAATTTGAACTACCCTTTTTTCTTTCTAGAATGACTGGAGATTGCAGAAGAAAATTACAATTATCTACCTTAGCCTCAGGCTTGTATTGCATCTGTTTTTTTTCTTAACTTTATTGTTCTGTAAACAATGTGTAATTGCTAAATTTGTATAACAAAGCTATAAATCATCTGGCAAGCACATATCTCAAGTTACAATAAACAAAGCATTGAATTATGTAGACATAAGTAACTCACATGCATACCTTGCAGAAATTTTCTTCATTTAAGTTTTCTTATCTAACATAACAAGTTTCTAATTTTTTACATTTTATTTACTTTGATAACAATAAATAAAAAATATACAAAAAACAAAAAATTTAGTGCTTACGTCTCTCATTTTGGTTTTTGCTCTGGCGAAACTTAACCCTACTACTTATTTCCACAGCAATAGTAGCAATACTGTTAGATATATATGACTGTTCAGATTTAGTTAACTTTAGAGGCAACAGTTTATCGCAGTTTTGTTTACATAACTGTTTACAAATCATACATTGTGTAGTTCAATAGCTATGATTTTGCGATTGGTATATTATTGCGTCATGTTACTAGAACCTTCTAAGTTTTTCTAGTTGTTTTGATTGAGTATTATTGTATCATAATATCTAGTAGTGTATGGAACATTCTAGACCTCTATCAGGGAATAAATTCACATCAAAAATTAGTTTGATAGATAGATCTAGACTGCATGATTGTGAGTTTAGCCATAAATAGTATTTGGTGGTGATTTTTAAGTGAACTTATCACAGATCGTATTGTAATAACAGAGTAAAGAAGAATAATTCACCTTGTCATTTGTGTTCTATAGTAATTGAACCAGTCTGTGTGGACTTTAACAAAAAAAAAAAGAGAATTATTTAAAGCTCTGGATACAACTGTTGTAACCAACAGTGAAACAAACATTTGAATATACATTTGACTTGTTTTAATATATTACTTTAAAACAAGTGGACTGTATGCTGTTTGTTTATTGTTGAAATTTATCGCTAACAAGTCAAAGATACCTACTGAAAAAGAATCCGACCCGACAAATACACAAAATAATTTTTATTTATTTCAAATATGTAGTTTAGAGCACAAAATATTAACTCTCAACACAGGCTCAATCGATTTGACTGACCATGTGACCTCTTTGTACTTGTATAGTCTTTATAGATTTGATACTTCTAACTTTTTAATATAGTATGTATATCTTCACAACATAATAAATCTTTCACATACAAAAAATCATATTTTTTAACCCTTTCGAGATGGGTTATGGGTGTAAGGCCATGTCATCTTGTTTGTTGACTCGCATTCAAAATTTTATTGAACTACTATTTCATGAATTTATGTCAATAACTTTGGTATCAAACTGTAATTATAATTCAAATTTTAGTACTCTATATTACTCAATTTCTTAATTTAAAAGCAATTATTAAAAATAGAATAAACATTGATTTTTGTGTGTCACGTGATATATTGAATGCAGCACTGGTTCAAATTAGATGCTTGTGAAGTCAAAATACTAAGTCTATAGCTTCATACAAATTAGAAACTCAAATTACCGATATTGACAAGCCAGAATATAAAATAAGAGCCTCTTATCTTTTTAATTTGCTAAGTTATTGCTCATGTAATAAATCAAACACAGTGGCACCCCACCCACCTCTTTCCATTTTTGGAAATGCTCCCTTATACACTTATTTCTATATATGACATGAATAACCAATCAAAAGCTCAGAATGTCCCCCTAGAGGCTTTCTCAACCATTTGAAAATGTTAGGACACCATCTCGTTCTTTCGAACCAAGATTTCAAGGAGGTAGGCTGTGACTTTAGTCTGCTTGAAATATATGTTTTTAGACTGAAGCTGCTTATTTACTAAGCTTGATAAATTATAGTGGAATTCAATGGTATCGATATAGTAATTTATGACTTATTGGTTACTCAACTGTATATAGAAAGAACTAAACAAAAATAATTTGTTTCATATCCTCCATGTGCAAAATTTTAAAAGGCTCAGCAACTTACGTCAAGCAGTAACCGAGTACATGGGTTGTAACTAGAAGAGAAAATTGTTTACTTTACTTCTTTATTTGCTGTTCTATGTTTTAGGAGAAATATGTTTAGGAACTTATTTCAAAATAGCAATAATCTATATACATATATATAATGTATAATAATTGGAAAATGACTGTATTTTACAAAATACTAGTCGACTAAAATACAGCCAAGACAAGTTACTTTGTACAGACCAAAGGTCAGTTTTATGTTATTTGGTACGGTAACGTGAGTGCACGTGAGCTGCGTCATTGTAACTTCTGTATTGTTTTGCCAGGCATGGGTGAAAGGTCAATATATTAAAAATAATAAATATATATAAATGTATAATGTTATGAGATTTAAGCTATTTCATCTAAACATTTATGTTTTCATGTTATAATATGTGTTCACTCTAGAATGAAAGAGGCATGATTTATGTTTATTTCCTAATTTTTTAAGGTGGTTGTGAGATTGGTCAAATTTACTGAACCCATACAAAGATTAATTACTGAAAATAAAAGAAAAAATATAGAAAAACATTGCTTAAGAAACCTTAAGACTTAATAAAAAAAATTTATATTTTGCATATGAAAGCATTGTATTGTTTACTGATAATCTGCCAAATTTCGTTGACATACAGTTACTAATTTTAACGTTATAGCATGAAAACTATAACAAGCACAAAATGTATTAAATATTTCTTTTTGAAATTAAGAAATTAAAACTTACATATTATTAAAATGTGGTTTATTAACTATGTTTTGATGCCAAGTTTATTGATATATATTGACAATAAAATTGTTTAAGTTGACTAACTCTGTAAAAAGTCATGACATGCACACTCTCTGATCTCCACCCATTCACACAGGATTAAGGTATTACAAATAATTGAAAAACACTTACCAATAAATTTAGCAAGGCACATCTCACAAGTCTCTGGTACATAACCATCATCAGGCAGACTATCACAGTGTTCATTCACTTTCTGCATTATCTCCTTGAGCTTCGTTACAACTATAAAACATATAAAATTTAAAACATTAAGAAATAAAATATATAAAACATTCTTAAACTATGAAAAAAATGATAGTTATTAAAATTACAAAAACAGTGTCACAACTTGAAGATAATCATCTTAGTGTTTCTGTTTATTACAGTCTTCAATTATTGTAACTATCCAAGTAATCAAGATATTTCCATTATTACTATTTGATTAATTCAAGTTGTTCAGCTCAATTAGTGTCATGACTGAAGAAAATAATCTTCTAATCAAAATTAGTGTTTCTTATTATCACTCTTTTGAGTTATTCCAACTATCCAAACAATCAAAATACTGTTATGTTGTTCAAATTTACCTTGTATGGTCTAAATAATAGTGTATCTTTAACTTAATACATTAGTTACATATTAAAAGCCACACATTTGTCCAGTGTCACTTTGAATAAGATTGTGTCAATATAAAAAATAAGGCAAGTTATTATTAATTATTCATTACTAAATCAAAAAAAGGGGTTAATTGCTGAAAATATTGCTCATTTAACTGTGTCTGTCAAAAATTACTAGATTTGGATTAATAAAAGTATAACAATAAGTTGTGATATTTGGGCATATCCTGTTTTCTACCTGAACTGGTGATATAGATATTTTTCAGTTTAATTTCTGTAATGGCAACAAAACACAGTTCAGAAGTGTTAAAGGTTACTTTGTTCTAATTATTTTGTTTCATTGCTCTCTATAACAGATAATATCTCTTCTGCACACAAAGGTATTTCAATAATATTAACAGCATTTGGATTAGAAAGATTGGTATTGTAATATCCTTTGGTGCCTGGTTAATAAGCTGACCAAATGTTACAGCTAACTAATGATGTGAGGGTATGCAAGTCACAAGGTGATGTCATCTGGACAAAGAGAACAGCTTTATTGTGAATTTTGGCACTTTTCTTCATCCAGAGTTCTAGTGGGAGATCGAAAAGTGAAGATCTTTATTTTCTGAGATTGTGTTTAGCCGAACAGAAGACTTATCTTGACAGAGAGAAAGATATGGAACTAAACACAGCTTAGTAAAAAATGACTGTCCATTTGTTGGCATAGGTACTTGCACTTTGTTTTCTTTTCTTGTGTGTTTGATAATAAAGACAAATGTGTCCACTCTCATTACTTCAAAGACACTTAAAGAAACTCAGTACATTTGGCTATTACAAAAGACTTCCCTTATATTCTGATCAAATCTGCTGTTATTGTGAATTTGTTTATCTAACACTTGTCAGGACACCAGTTGCAAACTCCACAATATAACATAATTCAGTCATTAACCTATTTACACAAACAGGACTCTTTCTTAATTATGACCAGCTCTTACTATATAGGAAGCATCAAAAAGAGAAAACAAAAGTCTGGGTTTCCTCACATTTATCTTAAACATTGCCAATTAAAGAAAGCTTCAATATTTCCAATTTATTGATTTCTCATACATTGTGTTCATAGTTTCTTCCACCTGTACTGTCAAATTTAAACATATAAATTTAATGTGTTCCATATAAACTACCATCATTATCAACAACAATTCTTCACGTAAAACCTTATTTTATTTTGCATACTTATAAAGCTGTTAATTATTTTTGAAATTCTTAATGTTGATGATGGAATTTGAAAAATATTCCAAACATCTGTAATTAATTTTGCACTTTATCATTTCTCTGAAGATTCACCTTTAGAGAAAAGTAATTAATACTAAGCAGCAGAAACAAAACCAATTATAAGATATACAGTTTCTGTTATTTTGTTAAACTCTCAATACAAAGTTTACTTTGTTACAGTTTTTAGGCAATTTTATATGATATATTTTTGACATTTTTCTTACTTGTGAAGTCTGCTTCTCAAAATATTAATGTTTGTAATAATATACTGATGCTGTCATACTGAATCACACAACAAAGAAAAAACAGAAGTTTATATTATAAAACACAAATACAGAGACCACCAATCTTAAAACAGGATAATTTTCCTTACATACAACTACAAGAACAAAAAACAAGCATTGTGCATTACCTTCTTCTTCTATAGGCTGGAAAAACATAACATCGTGGGAGGTAACACTGCTCACTGCTAACTGAACAGTTTTTCCAACAGGCAGGTCAATAAATGAACAATCAGTAAAATAGAACTTCCTTTCTTCTTGAGTGAAAACTGGTTCTTTCTGTTCTGGTATCGAGTCACCTTTTGCAGCTAAACTTATTTTTTGCTGATCCTCGGTAGTCTCTTTCTCCAAAACATTGGCTTCTGGAAGTTTGCTCTGCAGGTTAATCTATTGTTTTATAAACTAAAATTAACTTTTCAAAGATGAAATAATGTTTTAAATGTGGAATAAATGCAGCAATAAAAAAACCTTTGAGTAAAATTTAAAAAAAAAGTGTTACTGATAGTAGTGTTTATTTTTAAAAAATGTTATTTAAGTTTCACACTCCTGAGACGCCTTCATGATTGTTACTGTACCCCTTAAATTTTGACCTTCCCAAGATAGCTAACAGATTTGTTAAGTATGTTTACACTCTTCTGATGACTTTATATAATCAAATTAATAGATCATATACACAACTTTTAACATACAAATTTATTTGTATGACAAAATGGGCAAATGTGGGAAAGACAGCTATTCTCTGATATGTGGTAAAAAAGAAGTACTCATCCCACTATGTCCAAAATTAGACATGTGATAGTGTAATAGTGATTTCATGCCTCAAAACAAAGCTATGGAACACTGATTAAAAAAACATTTTTTAACATCAAAGACAGCAAAACATGATCAACTCTACCATGAAATCAACTGACTGAAAACTTAAAAACATGTTTCATTACATGACATTACTAACTGCAGTCCAGTTTTTTCAGATCCTTGTTTTTATGACCGAGATCGACTTACTTTTTTGAATTGTTATAACAAAATATAAACGTGCAGCTGACAAGTAAGCAATACAGTGACAGCATACCAATCTTGTGCATAAAATAAATTATTTACAAACAAAATCTAGAAAGAAAACAAAAACTTACAATAAGTGAAATGAAAAGGATTTTAAATGAAATATCAAGCCTCAATATTGTTTAAAAATTATTTTACACTTGCAATTTACAATTTTTATATAATAATTAAGATCCAACAGAAGCTACATTTCTATGATGTAAATATTTTCTAATTTTAGTCCATTAAGCTGAAGTGCTTATTTTTGGTTATAAGATGCTGAGAATGAATGCATATAGCCAACATATTTTTGTTGCAGTGCAAGGTAAATGATATTTAAAGATGTAATAACCTTTTATATATTAATAAACAGAACACATATACTCTATGTATTATGTCAGTAAATCTTGTGCACTTTTTACTGATGCATATGCTCGCAACATATGACAACTGTAAATGAACATAACTCAGTTAGTATTAAGTTTAATAATTGTAACTATAGCTGATCTGAGTGTGTGTTACACGTGCCTGTTATGATTTTCCATATACCACCTGTATCCTTAAAAGTATATCTGCATTTGATATTAAGTTATTTTTCTGAGCTAATTTGTATCACTTATAATCATCATCACAATACAATACTTTAACCCTCTCACTACAGCCTCAATCGATTTTACCAAGTTTGTAACCCCCAAAGTGAACAACAGTTTCCATATTATAATTATTTGGCAAGCTTCCTTTAAACGTTACAAGTCTGTTGTATGCAAAAAATCACTTTTTAATTAAGTATTTTTACTAAAACATTGTCTGTAACAAACAGAGTCACTGTTGACTGCTCCAAGTGCAAAGTGATTTTCATGTCAAGATTAAAAATATTTTCATCTGAAAATTGCCCAATTTCATATGCGTGATCTCTTATTCCTCATAAATTAATATCAACTTTTTTCAGCAAAACTTGGTATTTTATCTATTATTTTCTCTATCCTAACTCTATACAAGGGTAGTTAATTTGATCAACCTTGCAACCACCATAAAAAATATGAAATAAATATAAATTTCCCTTTTTTTCTTTCTAGAATGATTACAACTTGCAACTGGATACAACAACTGTTCATCTTAAATAGCTTAAAGCTCATACAGTATACATCTATTTATACTTAATTTTATTGTTTTAATGACTTTTGAATGGTTAAATAATAATCCTGCTACACAAGTTTTAAGCCACTTAGCAAATGTGCAGCTCACATTACTATACCAAATTACATAATGCATGAGCATTCCTTGTGAAGAATTTTTATTATTTAATGTAACAAGTTTCAAACTTTACATTTTAATTCCTTTTATAATAATAAAGAAAGAATATACATGAAAAATAAGATACATATATCACTCATTATTTGATAGACTCAGATACTGGCTTTCTATTGGTTCATAAATAATATAGTATATAGAGAGAACTACTGGCAACTTATGAAACAGATTACAGGTGGGTGTGGAAGAGGGTCCAACTTTCTAGTTTATGATTCCATAAACAAATAAGATTAAAAGGTATACAAATTATGTTTTGCCTTAATATCTATATTATGAGTAATTTCCTCTAGTATGATAATTCTGAAATTTACTCTCTGTCTTCTCTCTTCCCTTATGTACTTACTACCCCTCTGAGAAGTTCAGAATTTAATGTATATTTCCTTGTATAATAACGAACTTAAAACTTATATAATATTAACATTTGATTCACTAACTAGATTGTGATACTAAGTTTATTCATATACAATGATAATAAAGTAATTTAAATAAATTTTCATTGTAACTCTCTAAAAGATTGTGACATGCACACTTTGACCTACTAGTAGCAAGAGGGATAAGCATAAAATAAGAGGTATTAGTAACTATGCACAAAATACTGGGAAGGTGCATGTAAAGAATAATACGTTTATTTTTGCAATAAGGCACTGAACACTTAAAATATTGACTAAGGCTCAATTTTAAAGGTCATCTGAAACGACTAAAAACTTCCTCGAATAACCATTTTAAACCCCCATGTTGTCCGACAGATGACTAGCACCCTGGAACAGATCCTTATCCAAAACAGCATCCTAGTCTACTGTACACTTATCTATGCCCACACTACACATGCAATGTTGACTCCGATCCTCGACTAAAATCGTTCGTAAGTTCCCTTACTATGAAACTGAAAATTTGTATCCCGCACAAAAATATCTTTTGAACCATTTTTTGTTTAAAAAATATTGTACTTTGTACAAGAGAAATGTTAGTACAATCGACCAAAAGTGGCTGAAAATGTCAAAAAAAGTTTG